AGAGAGAGAGAGAGAGAGAGAGAGAGAGAGAGAGAGAGAGAGAGAGACTAAAGAACATTTCCATTTTGCCCTTGGTGCTTCATGCTTGTGTTTAAAACTCTTCTCAGCTTCTGTCCCTGTGGGTGTGCCTGCCCATTGCTGCTATGACAGACATATCCTTCAGAACCATTGTCCAAATAAACCCTTCCTTCTGTAAATTGTCTTGGTCATGATGGGTTTATTTTTTCTTTTGTTTTGTTTTGTTTTTGTTTCTGAGACAGCCCTAGAACTTGCTCTTTAGACCAGGCTGGTCTTGAACTCAGAGATCAGCCTGCCTGTGTCTCTGAGTGCTGTGATTGGAGGCGTGTGCCACCACTGGCCCTTGGTCATGGTGTTTTATCACAGCGACAGAAAAGTAATGAAGACAGACTTCTCTCTACACCAATGAGCATAATGCAAAATGATCCTCCCACCTGTCAGGTTAACAGTGACCAGTAGCCATCAAAAGTGTTTTGAGTTGCCAAGACAGAAGTGAGTATTTTTTTCATTTGTACCTACATGTCACTTGGAACAAGGGTCATCAGATAAGACATAGGACTGTCAGCACTGAACAGTTTCTCAGAGAGGAAAGTCCCCAGCATCACACCTGGCATCTGACCCTGAACTCTGCCCTGTCTTTATTTTGTAATCCTTCTATTTCCTGGATGTTGGGTTATAGACCTCACAAGGTGCTGTGGGAATTCAGATCGGAAGGAACGGAGCAGAGTCTTGCCCGAGGCAGCAGGGAGAGAGCTGTGCCAGTGGGATGTCGGTGTCCTGGCTGGGAATTGTAGTCTCTGAGTGTGGGGAGTCTGGGTACGTGCCCAGTTGTACTTTCCCACCCACGGATTTTGTATCTAGTAAAAATGTTACGTCAGTGTTTTTCTTGAAATGAAACAAATAGCAACAGGTATTCAGGTTAGACCCGCCTAGAGAGGAGGATGGCTAGTCTAGAAGAAGGATGCGCGTGGGTTCCTTGCAAATCTGACGGCTTTGTCAGAGGGAGATCCCGAACGAACACCCTGGATACGGGGCACATGTTTCCACTAAACACAAGAGCTGGGGTAGAGGCATTCTTAATTGTGCCTAACCATGGGTCCTCACGGACGAAGGCCAGCAAGCCCTTGGCATCGTGGGAAGCAAGCTTGTTGTCACCCATGGATCTGCTCTGGGTCCTCACTCCCAGGATGTTCCTGGCCATGGCCTCTGGGACCAGCTGGGTAGACTTATCCTATCTACATGAGACTCTCTAGAAAGCAGCTCAGGGTGTCAGGGGCAGATGCATCGGCCTCTGGACTGACAGTCTTATCTGTAGACCTTGACCTTCATATGGACCCGCCTCCCTTCCCTCTTCCCTCCTCATCTCCACACGGTCACACGGGGATATCTGGGCATGAACCAGGGAGGATGGGCAGAGCCCAAGAGCTCTCAAGTTAATTGGCTACCATAGAGGCCTTCCTAAGCAGACCCATCTGCTCACAAGAACTTTGAGTGCCACTAGATGAGGAGAGACGCTGTGCGCCCTCTAGTGGCCACACTTGCCAGTTCCGAATGAACAACAGCCACTTCTGGGCTCCGTCTGTGGCGTTGGCTGGACTCTGGTTCATGTCTCCAACCAGAAGACGATGAGAGCCAGACTGTTGAGTGTACACTCAGGTTGGGGATAGAAGACAGAGGGGTGGGAGGAGGAGGAGGCAGAGATGGGATGGGCTGGATAGAGGAGCGACCAGGTAAGGATGGCAATTTGGCAGTTCGAGAACTGAGGTAGAAACCCCAAGGCTGATCACCACACGGACTCTACGTTTTTCTTGATGTTGGAAAATGTTGGTGATATGGTGCTCAGAGGTCTCCAGGCATCGTCTGTTGCCTGTCCTAACTGTGGAACCTCAACTTGTTTGATTAATTTTTGTTGGTGACCTGTGTTAGCACTCCTTCTAGTCTCCGCCCCACAGTTACCTGGCAACAGCCAGGTAACTATAAAAGGGGCTGTTTGCCCCTCCTCTCTCTTACTCTCTTACCCGCTTAATCTCTCTTTTTAAAAAATTATTATTTTGTCTTCTTAGTCTCTTACTCTTTTATCCTCCCTGTTCTCTCCCCATTCCCCTCCCTCTTCTCTCTCTGTCTCTTTCTGTCTCACTCTGTCTGCCTTTCTCTGTCTCTACTACCCCTTAACTCCCCTCCCCTTGCCTTAAATAAACTCTGTTCCATACTATATCTGTCCTATGGCTGGTCCCTCAGGGGGGAAGGGATACCTCAGCATGGGCCCACAGAGGCACCACCTTTCCCGTCACCATACCGCGGCTCTACAAATATATCCTGGCTCTTTAAAAAAACCAAAAAAAGCCCACAACAACCTGTACTTTGGGATGTTGAGTATATGGCCTTTGAGAAGATGACCACTGGGTAGGGCAGGACTCAAGGATGGGTTTCATTCCCAGCTCCACACAGGAGGAGAAGCAGGAGAAAGAGGGATGGAAGGATACATGGAGAAGAAGAGAGGAGAGGAGGAAGAGAAGGAGGAGAAGGGAGAAGAAGGGAAGGAACAGAAGTGAGAAGAGGAGGGGGGAGAGGAGGGGGAAGTAGAAGGGGAGAAGGAGATCCTACCGCGGAGGTTTTTGTTGTAGATAAATGTAGCATCACTAGTCCTTAAATGCACTGAGCCGGCAGCTGAGTGCTGTGGCTCTGAGTCACATGACTTCTCAGAATTTCTATCTCTTCTGCCAACAAAGCACTATGGCGCCTGCTCCCCAACCCCACCCCCAGGACCAGGGAGAAATAATTAAGTGGGTCTAGCCGCTCGTATTGTTCTGATGGGCGCACGGAGAGCCCCGGGTCCCCGGAAACCCTCCAGATCTGGACACTTGGTATGTGTGTGTAGGAGGGACAGAGGAGAGTGAGGCCAGGGTAGGCCTGGGATTGAAAGCACACGATTGTGTGTTGTCTCACGGCATTTACGCACCTCAGCCGGGTATGCATGGCCGTCCACCACATGCTCAGAGCCCCGTTCATTTGTTGCTCCCCAGTGGAAATGAAACTGCTTCAGCCTGTAGTGGTTTCCCAGAGGCCCACCGCTGATCCCTGCAAACAAGAGAAGGAACACATGTACCTGGATTGTGTGGGCCCAGCATTGCCTCTGTGTATGTGGGGTGGGGTGGGGTGGGGGGCTTCTATCCCTAAGGGATTGCTGTGCTACAAAAACCAGGGAGGTCTGTGAGGTAGGCCCGGCCGGTGTTTGGTCACCTCAGTCCTAGAGTGGCACCTGCCACAGTAGGTTCATACTAAGCTCTAGGATAGATGAAGGCCAAGTCTGAGCACAGCCACTAGATGGCGGTAAGACTCTTGAGTCCCTACATGTGACTACACACAGACACAGGATGATTTCTGAGATGGGTACAAATCCTACAAGGATTTCCAAAAAGTTTCTTTTCTTCTGAGACAGGGTCTCAGGTGGTTCAAGCTGGCACTGAATTCCATTTGTAGCCGAGGATGTCCTTGAACTTCTGATCCCCTTGCCTCCGCCTCCTGAGTTCTGGGATTGCAGGTGCGTGCAGCATACCTGGTCATCTGGGCATCCTGAACAGAGACAAGCTCAACAGTCCAGAGTAGTGTTGGTAGCCCAGTTGATGGGCCCCCACGTGGCTAACCACATTTCTACCTGTAGCTGACACACTTCCATCAAAGCCTGCTGGGACACTTCAGCCTTCACAGAAACCAGCAGGACTTGCTCTCAGGATGGTCAGGTGAGCCTGAGCCTAGGGCAGAGCTGGGAAGCCCGTTTCATGGTTAGAGATATGCATATAACAGACATGCTGGGGCACTTAGCCTCCTGTAGCCAAGTGTTACAGCTTTCTTTGTGTTTCCATGATAAACACTTTGACCAAAGCAACTTAGGGAAGAAAAGGGTTTATGTGCCTTAACTTCTAGGTCACAGTCAACATCCAAGAGACAGAGCAGGGATTCAAAGAGGAACTGGAAGCAGAGACCATGGTGGAATGCTGCTCCTGGCACCTTTCTCTCAGGGTCATGCTTAGCTAGCTTAGCCCAGGGCCATCCATCTGCCTAGGGAATGGTGCCACCCACAGTGGGCTGGACCCTCCCACATCAGTTAACCATTAAAGAAAATCCCCCTCAGACAGGCCCACAGGCCAACCAAATCTGAGCAACCCTTCTATCAAGCCCTCCTTCTTAGGAGACTCTGGCCATGTCAAATTGATAGTTAAAGCTGACTGGGACACTCCACAAGGCATAAGGCTCATTTGCCACTCAGTGTCCCAGTCAGCTAGGACTACATAATGAGATCCTGTCTTGAAAATGACAAACAGTCAAGGCCTGAGCTTAACCCCAGCACCTAGGTTCAGTGGTATGCCCTTGTCACCTCAGTACTGGGGGGATGGACACAAGTGGATCTGTTGAACTCACTGTCCATCAGGCCTAGACTCATTAGTGAGGCCCAGGGCCATGACAGAACCTGTCTCAAAAAAACAAGGGAGATGGCTCCTGAGGAACGCCACCTGATTTGAAGTTGCCCTTGGGCTTCCACATGTGCACACATGTACATAACATATACACACACTCGATGCTAGACTACAGACAGGACTCCTAGCCCACATGTAGCAGTAGTTTTTGCTATACTGCTTTGGCTCTCAAAGGATCACAGGAGCTATCTTTGGATCCTCCAATGAAAGACACGCACACATTAGCTTATTTTTAAATGCCTTGACTACCTCAAAAGCTGGACACTCCTAAACCATCCCCTGCTACCCCAGACCCAATCGGGGAAGTGACCACTGGCAAGGTGAATCTGTGGTAAAGTTTGCATCCCAGTATCCTGTATGGTTCTCTTGGGCTACAAATCACAAGGGGAAGCTCCAATCATGGTCCTTTGACAAATGAAGTCTAAAGACTACCATAGTCAAACTGGGGACAGGCACTAGCTCAACACTTTCCCTGATAACATCAGGAGACCCTTTGCAGAATAGCCCCTATGAGTTGGAGTCCTTGCTTGCCTCAATGAAACATGTCAGTCCCCTCAAAGGTGGATAGCCTCATGAAGGGCAGCCCTGCACAGTGCTGGGGACCCATCTGGGACAGGAAGGGATGACTTTTCTCTCACACCAACCAGGAAGCATTGTTTATATCTGAACAAGGAGCTTACTAGTTCTATGGGAATGACTCTGTACTGGGGACCATGCAAGCTCACACAAAGACAGAAACTCCAAAGGCTTCAGTACACCTAATAGAAACAAGGGAAGGCCAGGCATGGTCACACACACATTTAATCCCAGCACTTTGGAGGCAGAGACATGGAGATCTTTATGATTTCTAAGACAGCCTAGTCTACATATGGAATTCCAGGCTAGCCAGGGCTACATAGTGAGACCCTGTCTGGAAACACACACACACACACACACACACACACACACACACACACACACACCATATGGAGGAGCTGTCCTGAGCCTTTTCAAGTTGGAACAGAACATTTTCACCGTGACAGTGTTTCCAAGATTAGCCTCAACGGCCGAGGCAGCTATGACAAAGCAGCAAGTGTGTGCTTATTTAAGGACTGGAAAGGTGTCCTTCATGGCTCCTTCTGCTGTCAGGTCTGGGCTTGCTGGCTCAGGGGTAGATCTGCAGGCATCGGGGTAGAGATGCAGACATGGGGGTGTATCTGCAGACATGGGGGTGAATCTGCAGACATGGGGGTGTAGCTGCAGGTGCAGGAGTGGATCTGCAGGCTTGGAGGTAGACCTGCAGGCACACCAGAACCCTTCTACAGGCACGGATCCTGACCTAGCACTTCCTTTCTTCCAGCGCTGGTTTCCTTATTCAAGAGAGTCTCAGTAAGGATTGTGTCCCATGGGAGCTATACCATCCAACGTGTAGGAAGCCTTCCAGGAAACAGAACAAGAGCTGTTCGAATGTGTGTGGAGGTAAGACAGCAGAGAGCAAGTGTCACAGGCCAGGTCTCCAAGTCCCCACGTTTTGTTGTCTGGTTTCCAGCTCATGGAGCTGGCAGCATGAGGTGTAGACTCAGTGTCACACCATGGGGTGACTGGCCAACAAGCTATGTGCCGGACTCTGCGTAGGGAACTGGGTGTTCCCCAAGGAATGACCGTACAGAACAGGTGCTAGAAGCCCAGCTCTGAGAGGAGGACACAGAGTGTCTTACTTAGGGTCTCTGTTGCTGTGGTGAACACCATGATCATAAACAACCTGGGGAGGAAAGGGCTCATTTCATTTCCACATCCTAGTGGACTGAGGGAAGTCAGGGCAGGAACTGGGAGGCAGGAGCTGGTGTAGAGGCCATGGAGGGGTGCTGCTTACTGGTTTGTTCCACATGGCTTGCTCAGCTTTCTTTCTCATAATACCAGGACCACCGGTCCAGGGTTTGACCACACCCACAATGGGCGTGGCCTCCCACATCATTTGTCGAGACCAATCTGATCCCAGACCAATATGGTGAAGGCATTTTCTTTTTTTTTTTTTTTAAATATTTATTTATTTATTTATTTATTATAAATACACGGTAGCTAGGTGTTTTCAGACACACCAGAAGAGGGCATCAGATTCCATGACAGATGGTTGTGAGCCACCATGTGGTTGCTGGGAATTGAACTCAGAACCTCTGGAAGAGCAGTCAGTGCTCTTAACCACTGAGCCATCTCTCCAGCCCGGTGAAGGCATTTTCTCAACTGAGATCTTCTCTTCTAAAAGGACTCTGGACTGTGTCAAGTTGACATAAAACTCACCAGTGCACAGGAAGTGAGGAATTAAAGTACCTGTCCCAGGTGACCTGTTGACCCCAGCGCCTGTTGAACACATAAGCCATTGATTTTGGTCCCAGAGTTCAAAGCTACACCCTGTTACTTTCCTTGGAGGTAAGGGACTTGAGATAAAGTCTACAGAATCAGATAAAGTAATAGATAACTGACTTTTTGTAATGCTGATATAATCACTAATTTTAAAGGGCAGCAGGCTAAGTCTTGGGAAAGAGAGTCTTTTGCTTGCCAGCCCCGCCTCTGCCAGATTTCCTATAGTCAGGTTTATCCACTGAGGCCCGGCCATCCACCACTCTGCGTTCTCTGAGGGTAGGTACATTTGAGATAATGGAGATAAAATAGGGCGCTAACATCAGCCAGAGTCAGAATCTCTAAGTAAAATAACTATTAACATTCAAGGCCAAGAGCTCACTGAGATGACTGGTCTCCCCTGTTACAGCAGTCCCTTTGAATAGCCACCTATTTGTAATTCTGGGCTTTCCCCAGGACAGAGCAGGCCTTTGGCAGGAACAGCAGCTGCTTTAGGGCTTAAAATTAGCACAAGAGAAGCTTGGGAAGCCCTTGTTTGTTGGAACCACAAATACCAGGATCTTGCAGAGACTTGCACGATCAGGTGTCATCCTAGAATTTAACCAGTTGCCAACCCGTGAAGTTCAAGGCCAAAGGGCTTCCGCGGTCCTCTCTAGGTGAAGACAAGTCACATCTGGCCAACAGCTTTTGGCAGTGCTCAAAGGACACCACAAGCCCCACAGAAGGTAGACTTGAACACCAGGCCATGCTGAGATCAGCCCTGGCCTCCGCAGAATGTGGCTTTACACTTTTCTCTGCATCTCATAGATGACATTTGTAGAAGGAAAATGATGTCTGTTTCACAGGAACAAAGAGCAAACGTGAGATTCTTGGTGCCTCAAAGGTCTCAGCAAACCACAGCCACTTTCTGTACCGATAGTCACTGTCACTGGGGCTCCTGAGGATGTTAGGGTCAAAGTGACAGCTGAAGAACCAGCCTGTCTCCATTTTCGGTTTCAAAACCATTTTATGGTAAAGAGAAACTAGGTTCATGGCTGTTTATTACTAAAGCTCTGTTTTTCAAGGATTGGGCTGTGCCCCTCCTGTATCCTGAACTACAAACGGTCCTGGGATACCCAGTCCAGGAATGGCAATCACGTCTTTCTTTTTAAAAGTTATTTATAGCCATCTTGCACCCCCACCTTTCAAAAGGCTACATGGCCCCTAAGATTACATTGTTATGACTACCTGATGTGATGGTACCATTTTTTATATTCTTCTTCTGCA